AAAGGGAATGGGAGATGAGACTCTGATTGGTTTATTCTCAAAACACACCTATAACTCATTAAGTTAAGTAACTCAACCCTTTTAGATCATGCGCCATGGCACAAGGGGGAGGTTTTCCGTCCTTACTGTATATTAGCAAAAGTGGATTCTGACATGCCCTGAAAGCATTTGTGCCCTGCGCTTTGCACTTTGTCAAAATAGAGCCTTAGAACTGTGACTGCAAACTAACACCAGTCACTCGGAATGTACTTTAAATCATGCTTATTTATTTATTATATTTATTTATACCCATCCATTTTGTTGGCAAAGTTTGTTACAGCCATTCTGCGTTCTGAATGTCTGTGGTATTTTAAAGTTACTTTCGGGGCGTGTCACGTCTGTGGTCTAATTTATGAAATTTGCTTAGAAACTAACTGTAAATGTAACAATAAATTACTAAATGTAATTTATTTATTAATTATTATGACTTTTTTTATAGATCACAACTTTTGTGTGCAAAGTAGTATACGCACATTTTCACCCGCTGTGCATGTACGCTATGTTTATAGATGGTGCGGACACCAAAATTGCCTGTCTCTGGAATCTTCTCACGTCGCGTGTTGTTATAACACAGTGTTAAACTGTTTCAGCACATTGCTGTTTATGAATTTTTCATATTTGGAAAATCTAGTCATAACTGATTAACTTGTGCATTTAAAAGCTCAACAGAAAAGGCTGTGATTGGTCACAATGCTCAGTGCTGCTTCCGCAACAACAACAAAAAACAGTGAAAGTATTTGGTCATTGCCTCACAAATTTTTGGCTACAAATAAGATAAAAGAAATATCTTTTAAACTAATTCATGAATTCTACCCGACTAAACATTTTCTCAGTAAATTTAAAAGGGATATTGATATCTTTGCATTTGGAAACTGTACCCCACATCTTTTGGCACTGTGGTTATGTTAAAAAGGTTTTGGTATGATGCTTCTGTTTTTAAAAAGAAAAAGGTACTCTTAATTTTAATCTGCATTTTTAAAGCGTAATTTTTGGATATTTTAATTATGATAAGTTGAATAACAAAGTTTTTGATATTAACCTATTCATTTTGTTAATTAAGTCTTATATTCATAAGTGAAACTGAAAAATTAGTTTATAGTGCTGATCGAAAGACCATTAAAACTGTCCAACTGTGCTCTAGTTTCAAATTTTTTGATTAATGTAAGTCCTGCTAATTTGTATTCGTAAGAATTTTAGTTAATTATTTATACTTTTGTCCTTCTGTTTGTTTTATTAATTACTTTTTTTTATCATTTACTTTCTATCACCTTGCCATTGCTTTGTTTATGATATTGTCATGTATCTGTTGTTTAAAGCATAAAAAAACTGATTATTTAAAAAAAATATATGCATAAATCGGACACTTTTTTCTTTTTTCACATTTTACTTAAGTCACAAAAGCCATATTAGTTTAGTTTAACTTTAAACTAGTTTAACATTTAACCAGGGGCATTTTGCGTACCCTCATCTTGCCTTTTCATCTCTGTTAATTTCTGATTCTTCTGTGAACAAGGGCCCTACCACTGACTCTATTCTTCATAATCCTTTCTTTTATTGTAAATGTCATCACATTCAAACAAAGGTGACATTTTTATCTTTAACCACAAATCAGACATTTTTCTGTGTACAGTATGTTGCTTCTCAGATGGAAGACACTCATTACTTATCTATTCAGCACTGTGAGGAATTATTATTATTTTTTAAATCTGTAATCTGTAGTTGGACGGATGGGCCTGTGTCCGATGACCCGATAAGCTAATTTGACGTTAACGGCACTGTCCCATTGACACACATACAGTGCTAGAGCGGTTGACTTGTTATGTCATGCAATACTGGATTTCCCAATATGCAATATACCGTTAAATCTTATGGCATGCAGATCAACAGGAAGTCATCAAATGTATGGCATGTCTTTATGAATCAATAGTTTTTAATCAAGCGCTGGTCACGCTGTATTGAGTGGACTTGTCTGTTAATTACTGTCTGTCTCATTTTAACACTGTCTACAATCTGCACTATAGGCATGGACCGGTATAAGATTCTGATGGTTTGATAATACCGGATAATCTGATCTTATATGTCTGAGTAAACAACTTTTTTCCACATTGACAACATTATAGTTTATTTTGAAAACATTTAAAATATTTTGGAGCAGTAAACATGTCAGGCTAAATTATTCAAATGAATCAATTACTTCAGCTGTCTTCATTAGTTTCAAAAACACAGATTTCTGTACAACTTGAAAAGGCATTTTTGGAGATCTTTCTTTTTTTTGGAGATGAAGTAAAGCCTATAGCTTCCATGGTCTATAGCATAATTGTGTGTTGATTTATAAGCGATTTGTTGTTCAGATGTTTGCTAAATGGTGGGCTGAGCAGTTGCTTTTGATGTGGAGATACTGTTGGCCTAAAAAATTAAACAAAACAGTTGTTAAAATAATGTGAAAAAAACATGTATATACACCTTGAAATGGTATAACAGAAAATTTTAATAATTATCATTTAAAACCTTGACTTTACCAAACCACGGTTAAACCGTTTATCGTTCCATGCCATGCTTATCTGTTCTGCATGATTACTCGCTGATGTTATTTGGTCTTTATAAGTACTGTACCTTCTCTCACAATATATAAGACAGTTTTTGTTTGGATTTATAGGTAGATTTTTAACTATATCTTAAAAAATAAATATACTTTATAAATAAAACAATTCATCTGAATCAATTCGTCAAAATGAAGTTTGGTTTACCTTGAAAAAAAAAATACTAACAAAATATTGTTATACCAACAGTAATAGATTTATATCCCTAAAAATGTATTTAAATTTAATGGTTAATTAATCATTGTTAGATTGCATAAGTTTCATGTTTTTGATTAACTACACATTTAAAAATACACATTTTTGCACTCTAAAATAAATTAAACATTGAATGAAAAAACAATTTTAAAGAGCGCCTATTTTACCCCTTTTAGATGTAAAATTAACATTTAGTGTTTCCAGAATGTATCTGTAAAGTTTCAGCTCAAAATACCCATCAGATACTTTATTATACCCTCCAGAATCTGCCCGTTTTGGTGTTTAAGTATATTGTAGCTGTTTTTGTAGCCCGTGGCTTTAAATTCAAATGAGCCGCTTCTCCCCGCCCACCAGTCCCACGTGCGTGTTGGCTTCTTTACATGCGTTACGTCAGATAAACAGCAGTCAGTGATTGAGACAGACACAGATGAATTATATTTTGAACCCCCTTAACATTTTTATTTGTACTATTTACGCTCATAATTTACCTAGGTTGACAATCCTGACTTACACTGATAAAGAATAATGTCCTAACAAGTTATAGCAAGGGCCACAAGTTATACTTAGCATAATTTTAGCAGTTTCATGTGACTGAAGCGCAAGCCATATACAGGGAAGTGCTTTCAGCCACCGATAATGTTCCTTTTACAGCGGTGATCATTTATTTTAATTGAAATGTTGTCAGATTAATAGACCTGAGTATTCATTTAGTTGTTTAAGCGCTACGAGATGAAAAGCTATGAAATGTAAGTCATGAGCAGCAGGTGAGCGCCAAAATCACTAGAAGCGCCAGGCCGGGAGTGCTTATTCAATAAAAGTGCCTGTGCATATAGCGGTGCAGTGCTGCGCTTCTTTTCCTAAGTGCAAAACGCTGCGAAAGTATTGCATTTAAATCACACAAACATAAAGCTTAATATTTGCTGCACTTTTGAGCTCTAATTACAATAAAGAAATACATTAACTTTCAGAATGGCGAGGGACACAAAATTAATCCTGGTGGGCCACAAAGAATTTCTTTGTGCCCCTCCAGCACCATCTGGTTTGAGAATCGCTGTTATAGAGACATGGCACCTGTCAGTCAACTCCGGTGGGCGGGGAAAACAGCCCTCCTATGTCACGTTGCGGCGGGTCTCAAAATCACTGGGATTTGATGAAAAAAAATAATTGAAAAATTCTGAAAAATAACTATTTGAAAACTGAATTTGATTTATTATTTATTATTATTATTTTATAAATCATTTACTATATTAGTAGGCCCTATATTAATCAATAATACATTGTTTTATTTTGTTTATCAGGAAAATGTAAATTTATCAAATGCTTATGTGTATCTCTTCAAAAGACGAAAAAGAATAATGTGTGTTTATTTCTTTTTTGACTTGATTTTTGATATTGAATTTCTTTATCATTTAAAAAGAAAATCCATAATTTTCCTGTCTGCATCAATGTTACTGTGTCGTCTGCTCTTTCTGGCTTTCCCCACTTCATATTTCTAAATGGACATTTCTCAGGAACGAACACAAGAATTTCATATTAATAAATTAGATTTGTGGTACTTGTCTGGGTATCGAAGTACTTTCGCTAATGGAGACTCATAAACCATTACTATGCGAGGGATAATGTGAAGGACTCTAAAATGTCCCCCTTATTACATGGCATCAAATAAATAAATAAAAAAATGGATGTGAATTATTGATTTGAAATGACTTAATGTGGGAAGAAAAAAAAAAGTCATGAAACTGTAGCGGTTGCTAAGCACATTGCTCATTGATATATGTTATAATGTACTGTACAGGCTTAGATCAAGTAGAGGGTGAGTTATTAATGACAGATTTCTCTATTTTGTTTGGGTGAACTGCCCCTTCTCAGTAAATAATGATGTCTTTTACCTACCTGGTCTGGATTTTGAAACTGCAGCTGTGTGCTGGTCTTCAAACATGGCTTATAATGAGGCAGTAAATTATCCACTGGAGCAACATCAAGACATTATCGCGCGTGTGTATCTCCCATACACCATTAGTCCAAAACAAATAGATGGTCTGCTGGAGTAATGCAGGGCAAATTAAATCCAGAGACGTGGGGATATTAATTATGCCGGAATGGATTTGTAAATGTCCGCAGAGTGAATCGACTTAATGGTTTTGTCTTCTGTTTTTCGTGTTACAGGTGTAACGCTGTAAATTAAAGTCCATTGTGAGTGGCGAGGAGCATTTCGGTGGTCTTTCTTCACGTTTAATGGGTGAGTCCTATGATTTGAGAATGTGGTTTTATACCACCTGTCCAATTTTCTAATCGCAGAATCATTATCATTTGTCAGCTTTGTGAAATAATAGAATGAATAGGCTTGATTTTGACTGATATTTAACAATGGCTTCAGACTATTGCTGCGTCTCATTCTGCCCCCTATCTCAAGGTCATTCATTAGTAGGTCATGTGCACGAATTCGAGTTTGGTTTACCACACATTGGGTGAGTGTCATCAAACTGGAGTTTATAAACAACAGCAGAACTAAAAATGTTCATATATTAATTTTAATATGTTTTTAAAAGTACATTTTAGCTAAATGATTTTACATTTCAACAGTTAAACAATTATAAATGTTTGCTAGATTTTTCCCCTAACCTAAGTAGCCATCTTTGTTCATATAAAAAATATAGAAATAACAGATTCTTTTTAGAAAATCGTCTCTCGTTTTTCAAAACGTTTGATGATTTGGGTCACGTGATTCATATTTTATGCTTCCGAACTTCTGTTAAGGGTGCATAATGGGTATCGATGTGGCCTTATTTTCACAGTGCATTGTGGGACTTTTCAGGATGCTAATGTTTCAATGCACTGGAAGAATTTTGTGAATGAGACAGCACCTAATCGACCTGATTGGTGCACTGTCTTCTGAACAAGGGTGCTTATTGAGATGCACCCTTTACTTAGATGGTTGTATTTTGCAACTTATTTTCCTTCTAATGCGACTACATCTTGTTACAGGTCACAGTGATGCCACTGCCAATTTGCCTAATTGATAAGTATAGCCATTTCTGTTGTGTGTAATTAATATTAAGCAGCAAAAATGCAACAACAACGTTTTACTACTGGTTTGATTCCTGTTCTGCATGGGCCATTTATGAGCTTGGCCCAAAAAACACACACAAAAAATTAAGTTGATATTGAGCATGTGGCTGCTAGACAGTGCTTTGAGATGCTTAGTGAAGCTTCTCATTTTTTTTAACCAGTAATTTACCCAAAAATGAAAATTTGCTCATTGTTTACCCACACTCAAATTTCTATCGTCTGTTAAACGTAAAGCAAGATATTTTGAAGAATGTTGGAAAAAAGCATTCCAATTGTAAATTTCCACTTAAACTAATGAAGTTAAGTGTGCCTGAGCTTATAAGATCCTTGAGCCTGGGGCTCCCTCCTGTTTGCAATGCGAGAGGGGAGTTTGAGCTCAGTTATCAAGAACTCCCCCTGCTGTAGTAGCTAATGAACAAATAGTGATTGCTTTTAAGAGATAATTACTTTCTAGTAGCATGTCTATGGCGCCGATTGGGATTATTCAATTAACTTAAGTTGCATGTTTTTGGACGGTGGGAGGAAACCGGGCAACCCAGGGGAAACCCACATGAGCACAGGGAGAATGTGTAAACTCCGTACAGAAACAACAGCTGGCTTGGTAAGGACTAGAACTAGTGACAGTTCTTGCTGCTAGAGTAAGCTGTCATAATGAAAACATGACAAAGCCATATGACTGTCTTGTTCATAAACAATGGTCTTAGGACTTTTTATGTTGATGACACTGACACTTTCATTGACATGAATACTTGGTTCTGAGGAATGAGCTATCCATTTTGAGGAAGAGACCTACTTTTGCAGGTTATCAACTAGGTTTTGCAGTTTAATTGTTTTGAGAAATGCATTAACTGTTGCGCAAATGTAAATAGTGTTGTGAGAAATGCACCAAAGCCACTGAGAAAAACTGTAATTGATTTGTGTTGGGACAACTTGAAGGATTTTTTTACAATGTACTCAATTTTAAGACAGACAGATGGATGGATGGATGGATGGATAGATAGATTCTGCTATTATTTCCTCATCCTTATTAAAAATAATTCTAGAATATACTTTGGTTATATTTTTTTCCATGTTGTTTAATAATTTAATAGTTATCTATTTTTTGTTTTTTGGTCTAATTAGCCTAGCATCTGAACAGGAACTTGGGTTGCATCATGGAAGATCAACAAAGATGCTCTTTATTTTAACTTTTTCTTTTTTCACTAAAAAGCTAATGTAGCTAATTGCAATTAAAACAATAAAAGCGTGACTGTGCATCATTAAACTTCAGTACTTTCCTCAAAGATGATGGGAGAAAAATGAGAGCGAATCAAAAGCTACTGATACATGCATGCAAAAAGAAAGAGCAAGCAAGGTAATGTTACAAAAATTGCTGCTGTGCATTTCTTGTGTGCATAACATGATTCATCTACAGTGTAGTTACTCAAGTAAAATGATGCTAATACTTTTGTCAGTGGTGGCAAAACAATGTGATGTATTTTAAATTGTGGGCTGCTGTGTTTGCTGTGATCTGCATTTTAAATAAAATTAATAGAAAAAATAATAGATAAAGCAAATATACATTTGACCACCCCTATATACCATTGTGCATGCTTGATTGTGCACAGCAGGCTATGTGGGAAAATATTCAGTCAACAACCTTCAACCGACAGATCAAGAATACCAGTAGAAACTGTAAGAGTTCAAAGACACTTTTCTTGTAAAATAGTTCTTTGTATCTACACCAGGCAGCAACATCTCGATCTCTCTCTCTCGTGAAGCTAACAAGGAAGCAACTGAAAATGCCTGTTTCAAAATAGAGCACATTTCTATTGACCCCAATGTTAAAATGGCCATTTTACAGCAGAAACAAGGTGTTGTTTACAGCCTGGTACAAAAAACAATTTTGGTATCTAAGATAAAATGAGATAAAAAGTTTACTAACTTCATAGGGAATATCAAATCAAATCTTTGAAGAGCTTATACATCATATGGGTGTCATTAAGAAAAATATACATAAAAATAATTTGGCGCTTGGATTGCACCACACAATACTTGGCATACAGCTAATATTACCCTTTATGACAACTGTGAGGGGGTGATTTTTTAAAAACTTTATTTTGTTTACATTAAGTTATATTAAGTCTGCATAATTAAGGGCGTGGCCACTTGAGTGACAACTAGGTCTAGCTGGCCGCTGTTACTGCACCTCAGCTGATTCCGGCTGATTTGCCACTGAACTCGGCATATACATCATATTTTTGTTTTGTTTTATGTGGCTTTACACAGTCAATTGCTTTTTGGAATTATTTCCTACAATTATCAGATGATATGACATTTATTTGTGCTCACAAACCATTCACTTAGCCTCCATTTCCCAGATGAGTGAAATTATATACTTATATATCACATCTATAAATGTATTTGTTTTATTTAAGATCATTTATCAATTAAATTTTCTTTAGACCTGTAATGTTCTCCAGAATCTGAAAGATTGATTAGCTGTAGGTTGAAACATTGTCATACAGTGTTATACCTGGATTTCATCAATAGCCTTGCATTTAACAGACTATATTTGAAGTATTTAGAAGTAATTTGTGTTGTCCTCCTGTAGAAAAACGTCATAAAAACAATGCTTAGTTGCTCAATGTATTACAACAGTGTTTTTAAAAGAATAAACCCTTTATTGATATAGTACACAACCAAGCATGTGGTCAGAATACAAATGAGTCAAAAGCAAAGCTAGCAGGCATTTACAGCTCACGCTCCGCCTCTTTGCCCTTTTTTGGTTAACCCCGTCAGTGCGGTGACGTGCAAACTGATTGACGACGGTTGCCCATGCTTACTTGTGGCTTTATTTGGGTTTTTCAGAAACCTGTGGGGGACATCACGGATACTACATCTATATCTTTTACAGTCTATGATCTACACACAACCTAAAGTCAAGTGAGACTCTTAATGTTTTAATAGATGCCTACATCCTTGCAAATGTAAAGACTTAGCATGATGTAGCGAATTAGCTCAATGGGAAGACTAAGATTAATTTGAACAATGATGGAAAACGTCAGATTTTTTAAGAAACCAAGCAAACCAAATATAATCAATTTTACCCTTCTATGGTCTCTTTAGGGTTACATTTAGCCTAAACCAGTTCAGATGGAAGTGTTACTTGCGTTCCTTGTGTGATGTGAAGAAACTCCCTCTGTTGAACAAATGGTAAGCTGGTTGCTCTTTGTCCTCGCGAGGCTTGGAGAGGGTAGAGTCGGTCATTTCAAGTTTTGAAAGCGGCAAAAAGGCTAGTTGTGTTTGACTACTGGTTTTGCTGCACACTTAACTTGATTAACTTGACTCTCGACGGAAAAGAAAGAAAGAAAGGTATCGAGATGGGAATGTCTGAGCTGTTCAATTAACTCATTTTGTCTGGGTCTTCGCCGGCTCCCAGGAGTCCTCTGTTTCAAGTCTTTCTCAGGCCTGGGCCTTCTAGGTTGGGTGTTCTTCTCTGGCCTGAGGTTTCTTGTTTCTCGGGTTTCTGGTTCTTGGAGTTTCTCTTTTTCTGGCCGGTGGCCGGTGGCCGGTTCTTAGGCAGAAGCTTTTATAAGGATAGTTTGTACCCACCCTGCAGGGCCAAGTTGACCAATTCGAAGATAAACTTCCCTGAGACATGTTTTATAGTCCTTTGTTTAGAAGTGTAGTGATTGGCATAGATATTTTGATGTAAACTGAGGCAGAAATGTTTAAAGTTTCTTAAAATGTTCAGATGTTGTCCTCGTATTAACATGAAATGTAAACAATTTTTCGGTACACCAAATTAGCTTTGCAGGGATATTAAACATGAACTATTTAGAATCTTGTTTAGCTATGGAAGAGTTAAACATTGGTTGCAGAAGTATTAAAACCATAATATTAATACAGAAGTTAGGGAAACTTTGCAAAACACTTGATTACACATAAAGAGAGAGTAAAAGTTTACATTCTTAAGCGTGGAGCTTATAAAAGTTTTCTCTGTGTCCAGTTCTGACCACATTCCTTTGTGTTGTAAATACATTGTAATTGGGTTACACTGACCATGCAGTCTTTTTTTGGGGAGAAGTTGGTAATGTGTTGGCTGATGCATATGTTGAATAAAAGCAAAGTATTTATGTGTCTGATCGGCCATATTCGTTAAAATGATCATCCGTTTATCATCTAGGA